AATGAGTTATTAACTAAATAGTGGAATAAACAAGCTAGTGTATATAATATACCATTTATACCAAACACTAAAAATAGGCCTAACCTTAAATTGAGAGACCATCCTTTTATCCATACTAAATTGCTCTGCGGATTCATGCTCCTATAAACATTCTAGCAAAAAATGTAATACAGAAAATAAGGCGAAAAGAAATATATAACTAAATGGGAAAAATACTAGTACTAATTAGATGTAGCCTTGGTTATTCCACTTATACTGTCAAAATAATAACACAGTTTATATAAGATACTCAAACACCTTCATATATGTAGGGCCTTTCTAAATGAATATTCATCTAAGTCCAATCAGTTATATACAATGCACGCACAAGTAAAATCTCAATAACCCAGTCAATAGATGTTATTTCTTTTTAAATTTCGGTATAAAATCAAACATTCGAATGAGGCTACTGCTATTAAATTTACATTATAGATGACAAAATTATTGCAATTCCTTCTGTCGGACCGAACAATAGCGTACAGTATGCGTGCATGTATTGGAATCATTTATGTTAAGACACCATGCGTTTCCATGTTTGTTTTTTTTGTATTTATTGAAAATTTTGAATAATAAGTAGTTAAATAAATAGCTACATGAGCCGCAAAGAAGGTTATGCAGGTGTGGTAATGTTAACAACTTAATGGTTTCAGTAAATTTTACTATTATAAATTCTTAAACATTAAAAAATAAAAAAATAAATAAAATAAAATCGGAACATTATGAAAGGGCTCTTTATGATTTCAATCTGCAATTTTAAATTAATAGTTGGTATCAAAATTTAGATCTGTCTTCACAAGTTCACGTACTAAGAAAAGAGATCTCTGGCCTAGAAAGAAGGCGAATGATGGGCAGATTCCATATCGATGTATGTATATAGTATCTTCTAATTATCATAACTTATGATCGCCCGACTCTAGTTTAAGACGTTGGTTTAACTTCTGTGCAAAAACGTTATACGAAAAACCTTGTCAGAAACAAGGGGTAATCCAAGAGTCCAACCATAGAGAGTTTTATTTGTAATCATAATTTTATTCAAATACGATCAAACTTGAGCTTTGTATAAAGGTTCAAGAAAAGTCAGTCAAATTAAGAAAAACATGTAATCACAGTGACGCTATGAATTATAAAGTATTTTTGAAACCATCATCAAAATCTGTAAATCACTTTTGTCATGTCCATGTAGAATCGTCTTTCGTCGGGGGGTAGTTCTTGTAGCATACTACAATAGGCAACCCAATATAATCAGCAAGAGCTTGCACATAACAATTTAGGCAGTCCAGAGCTTGCACAGAACAGTTTAGGAACTGTTGACCAGCAAATGTAATAAGTGTTTAGAGGGTGGGGGCGGTGGTCACGAAGACCACTAGTTACCGATAATGTCATAATTTTAGTATCTTGTCAAATGATAAGTTTCCACTGCCTCACTTCCGTTCTATCTGTAGTATTATACTCCACGTTAAGTAGCTGACAGCGTATAAAATTCTCGACAGACACTATTGAACCAGTTTCCCGAAATGTTAATGATAGGGTCGTGGGGTCCGGAAATACCCACGGCATCCAGGTTAAGGGTTGTTAAAGATACCTTCCCACAAATGTATTATCGGGTGGTTATTTTCATTAAAAGTATGCCAATTTTGGTATATTATGTGGACAGTAGAGACACCCAATCTTACTAGAAAAGTAATGGATTCCTTGAAAAACACTCATGGAGAGCACACAAGACAAAAATGAGAAGGTGTCACTATTTAGCAGCCTGACGATTAAGGGCTATCTACTTGAGTGACGTCAAAGATTGCACGCGTAGATTGTCTGACCTCCTGGCGTTAGGGAGCGCTTGATGTATATGTTGATAAACTTGATGGCAAGCGGACGTGGAGAATGTGAGAGACTTAAACGTACAACATTTTCTGGGATAGGAAAAACACAGAAAAGACGTGGGCAGGGGATAATCCGAGAATTCACTTAGGCTTCGATATTTATGATAAATGGACAGCGATTAAAGACAACATCATCTGTTATGTTGCTAATTACAGCGACAGCTAAGCCACTTGGGGTATTTCCTCGGGAATACAATGTTTTGAGAGGGATTTGGAGCAAATGTTTGATAGATTAATTAGTTTGAATATGTTTTCAGTCCAAATATATCAACAAATCACCCAAATGGTACGCGGGAAGGTATCTTTAATACACATGCATGTATCTGTTTTAGGGATTCATATTCTGTGAGGCTTCTTGCCAAACGTGATTTGCACTATAAATAGATAACTAGTTCTTAGCTAATATCCAGCTTTACCGCTTCCTGTGCGTTTTTAGTTCACATAGTATCACGGACACCATTTCAATCAGAAAAGTCATAAACGTAGCCTAAATATCACCGACCGACGTTTTATTTATGGAATTATCAATATTGCTACCAACCTTTTCGATTATGAACAGATTAGTAAAAAATGTGTACATTTTTATGCAATAAAAGACAGAACCCATCTTTCAATTGTCATCATCTAACTGGGGGATAATAGTGACCAGTGTGCACGTACAGGATAATAAAAATGTACACCAGTCCTATGTCACTTTCGGTTCTAATATTTGGGCATTATGATAAAAGGTGGTGAATCTTGAATACACAAATCTATACATGCGCCGATAAGCTGAACAAAAGCATTTTGTTTACGACAAAAGACCCTGGAGATAATAATCTAAGGATTGAATTCTTTAACATTGTCCTATTAGAAACCACTGTATCTCTCTTTCTAAATCTGAAACCTGTAAGTCCTCAAACAAAGAAACTACAACCATGCCCGAGAGACAGGAAGTGACGTGGTGGGATTTGTCGAATATCTATTCCCGGCTTTGATAATGCGTATTTATGAAACAAAATTTAAAACTTTTTTTTATCTGAGAAGTGAACTTTTTGGGGGATGTTTCGAAATCCAAACCTTCAGCTAATTGAGGTTAGCAAGAACAACAAAGCTGTGTTCAGGGTAGAATCAGATACACGGGAACCAAAAACATGAAAATGGGTTGGCTAGGGTCTATAAATGGCGAACATATCGTGCCTCGTGTACGATAATCAACACCAACTAACGTCACAGCTACTCGAAGAGGGGAAAAAATGAAACACAAAATACATTCTCTGGATATCAAAACAATATGTTAAACATGCATTATGGAAGAGCTAAATCTGCCTATTGTAGGTCTTTCTTTAGGCCTGAAATGTTATATAAACTAATAATTAGACATTAATTAACGTATCCAGACCATAACCAACGCTCGGTGTCATTGCTAGAACTCGATATTTGTTGGATTATGATGCGATTTGCTGCATAACTTTCCTTCTCGATTTAACGATTAAATAGATAATCGAGACTATGATTTTTGTCCTACCGACTTTAGTAATGATGACCGAGGCTGTGCGGAACTTTCGTTCGCTTATTTCTCGGTTCATAATGGATCAATTTGACTGAAATTTTCAGCAAATTGCCTTTACATTATCTGGTTTTTAACTATTATAGTGAGAACTGTCAACTCGTTATCTAATCTCCCATAATGTATCTTAAAGTTAAAGATGTATTGTGTAAGATATGCTGCCCGACCATAAATAAATATCTCCAAATATTTCAACAATCATACCACAATATTTATATATATTACAAACCTTAACTTGCTTTCTCTCATAAAGGGCCGTGTTGTATTTAACAAGTTATAACCATTTAAAAATTAATAATGCAAACTAAGACCGGCCATTACATCTTGGCATTATTTGAGTGCAAAATAGGTTATGTGCCCATGGCTTAAAGTTAGTCCCTCTTAACCAGCCTACCGGCCGTGCTCCGGCTGATTGAAGGGTCGGGATAATCAAGACTATTTTCTACGAAACATTACCGAAAGCTAGATCAATAAATCTAATTTAGTTACCCATTCGTTAGGCAACTCAACAATTGTTTTGAGAACCTTGTAAAAGCAAAAGGAAAATACTACTAGTATTCTATTCTTGCCTAACGAAGGAGCTTCGGAGATATTAACTTTACAAACCAATAGATGCTGCTCCTAACAGTATAGTTCATAATAAAGCAAATTAAAAAAAAAGAAAACGAACGTAATTTTCTAAAGCTGCTGTAACAACGAAACAGCTCAATATTATTGTTATTCAGTATCGTTAGCAATAGATTTTTTTACGGATGTTTATAGCCTCATAGAATTACTGCTGAGTATTGTCGTGCGACATGTTAGTCAAAAATCAGTTCGGGACTGGTCACTGAAGCGTGCACATTCACTGTGGTGAGTTCAACTTTTAATAGGGCGAATGTTGGCTGCGTGGGATATTAAATAAATTAAAACATCCGCGATATTTTAACATACATTATGCAAGAGTTAAATCTGACAATTGCATGCATTTCTTTATGCCTGAAATGTTACTTAAACTATTAATTAGACAATTGGACAATTAGATCAACTATCGATGGCATCGGATACTCGAGATTTTAACTAGATTAGAACGGTTCGCCATTTAAAAAGTTAATTTAAAAATGAGAAAACGAGGCTATGTCTCGAATATACCAGTGCCCTGGTTACCACAATGCACACATCTTGTCGAAACTACAAACAGTGATAACTTGGATCAGAATGCAGTAATTTGAATGAAATTTTCAATATTTTCATTTGACATTATCTATTTTTGAGCTATTATAGCAAGAAAGGTAAACTCTTTATCTAAATCTTACATAATGTATCTTTAATAATTTAACTTTGAAATGGATAGTAACAATGGTATTTGACAATTGAGACTTTAGGCTAAATCGTGCCAGGACGTCAAACATTCGCAACTTAACTAAGAATCAAGTAATCTGATTGAAATTTTCAATGTATTCATTTTCTATTATCTATTTTTGAACCAGTATAGCAAGAACGACCACGTCGTTATCTAAATCATACAAACAACAATAAAACAAGTAAATACGTTATTTCTTTTTTCGATAGTTTAATATCATTTGGTAAATTTCCATGTTTGTACAATTTTAAATATCTACTACAATTATTTCATAAATATAACTATAATATTTAAAACACATTCAATATGGATTAATTCTTTAACAAAAACAATCGAATCAACCATATAAAAAAAACTACATACAAGATGAATAATAAGGAAGGTGGGGCGGGGGGGGGGGGGGTCACCACTGTTACGAATATACACTAAAGTGAAATAAAGTTCACTAGAAATAGGTAAAAATTGCTAGTTTCTAGTGTAATATTTAATATTTTCAAAGGGTGAATTAGCGTTATACCGAAAGGATATAAAAAGTAAAAGGGGAAATTTCTTTTGAAAACGCCCCACTTTTCGGGAAATCTGAACATAAACACATACACACTCCACATGCTACTGTACGAAGCTATACAATTAATAGTCCAATGGTTAAGTAGCAGAATAACCACAAAATACACATAAAACATACAGTAAATATTAATGTCAATGAGCACATGAATGAGAAATTTATTCTCCTTCGATTTTAAACAGGAACTCTTGGGCCCATATTAAAATGATTTAACGTAGTTCGCGACATCTATGACGTCGATGAAGGGCCAGGACTGTCAAGTTGTTTACTATGGGGACTTGATGCACTAAAGTCATTATCGGACAAATCATCATCATCACTTTTTGCGGTTTGAGAAAGTTCATCACAACTATCGACATTTACTGATTCATGACTGTCACAGTCATTATTGTCTTTTGTTTCGTCATCAACACATATTGAGACGTCGGCATCACTTTCTGTGATGTTTTTTTCGGGTTCTAACCCTTTCTGTGCTCTTCTGGCAGCTTCTTCCTCTCGCTTGGTTTTCCTCCATTTGGCACGTCGGTTTTTGAACCAAACCTACAATATGAAAGAATTAAAATAAATCACGGTCATTGTTGCCTTTAATAAAATACATAACTACATGCATAAATAAATTAAAAAGTAAATAACATGGTCATAGTGTCGTGGCATTAGTACAGTGCCATCAATGAGATTTACATCGGCATTAAATTCATTATTGAATATTAGTCCCAACAAAGAAGAAAACTTGAAGTCAGAAAGTCCGACTGTCATTGACCTTCCTGGTACATGACAGTTCATCAAAAGGAAGAGATAAGGTAAGTCATTAAAGGTCGATTGTGGTATTAAAGCACGTGGAAGATAAACTTTAAAACGGGTATTGGATGACTAAGATAAAATGTGGAGTAACTTTGTATGTGTCTTTGATGTTCAGCTGTCATTGATGTGGTCCACTGATCAAACCTTAGCAATTTTCTATAGTGTTTAAAGCCCCAGACCTGTTTGATTCGACCCTAGTGGAGTTGCCGTTTAAAACATTTGTCACCATGTATAAAATTATGAACATATTGTTTTGGAAAAGGAAAAATTGTGATTACTATACAATAAATGTTCAGGTTATAAATAGAAAGGTTGGTATTTTTATAAAGAATTTAAGGTATATTGTCGCCTATATATTCATCAAAGAGAATCCCATGAAGAGATTTTACAAAATACATGTCTGATAATGCTTTATATAGCTATTCTCAATCCATTGAGTATATAGTGTAGAAGCCTTGATGGAACTGATACAGAACACCTGGTTATCAGACGATGAAAGTAACTAATTCTGGTTTATCTACTAGCTTTGCCTCATTTGTTCTAACTATGGGCGATGAGAATTGATATTGATTGCTTATTATAAACATTTTATATTGAGTTATCAGTGAACAAATGAGACGTTTGGCGCGCTTCATTCTTTGATCTTCTCTCCAATATGTATAAGTAATTCTTTAATTCGGTTGAAGCATCATCGATCAGATGTTCACATCAACAATTTATAAATGTCGATATCGTCTCCAGAGACTCGTCTACGCCTAGATAAAATCCTTCGCCGATATTACTGTTATGCGTTATTAGATTGAACAGGCACACTAACAATTTCCGATATTTTCAACCCTCTAACATTCTAATGTGCTGGTTGAGCTCCGCGGTGTTGGGGAATTACAAACGATTCTATACCAAATCCCTACCAAAGGTCTTTATGTCGGAGAACGTTACATAGTTTTTAGGTTAATTATACTAGCGCAAGGATGCTCCCATATAAAGCGCGAGGTATCATCTGCTAATATCTACCAAAGGACTGTCTCATGTGCACCCCTCTAATGACAAGTCAGTAAATTCGAAACGACTTACGAGTAATCGTGCAGAAATAAAAACATTACTGTATTACTATTGACAATGGTTAGGAAATAGAATTAATAAATTCTTTGGAATTAGTTTATTTTACCCAAGGCTATATCACCAGCGCTAACACAAACCGAATAGATGGGTACGATAGCGCTCTTAATGTTCGTCTAATTCACTTCAATATCCCGCGAGAGCCGAGTTGACTGCCCCGATATCTTTGTGTGACGACTGGACTGGAGTTGCCCGGGGGTACATCGCCTCAATTATTGTTGTTGTACTTTGGATTTTCCAGTCCCTTTGTTAGACATCAAGTGATCGTCCTTCGACGGGCATGACAACATAGACTATAGAACAAAGCTGGTTGTGCTGTATGGTAAATTTGTATTGGAATAACATTTGACAACTGTGGACTTACTGATGTGACAAACGTAATTTTAACAACTGGCCAAATTGAAATTTTTAATAGAAATTAACAGGTGCCGATTTGGTGTCGGATTAATCTGAAGAAGCCTACTAACAAGAATTCCTCGTAACCGGAGATTCATCATAAATCACCATATCGATCAACAAACTCGCGTTATCGCTTGTTTATTACCTACTTTAGCAATTCCTAATAGGTTTATAACAGAGTAGAAAGCATATACAACAATATCACTAAAATGATATAAATAATAAAAATACAGATTTTTTAAAAAAGAGTATATTTCTAAAAGTAAAAATAAATTAGCTATTAAACATAAAAGTATTGTTTCGTTTGTCTGATATTAAACGAATCTTTGACAATAGAAATGAATCAGCATTGGCGTGTTTTAATGATTCTCACAGGGGTTTGTTGGGTGAGACCATGAGTGACCAGATATAATCTACGATTTTAAAAGAATTAAATTGTATAAATGAATGCAATTCGATTGATCATTCATCCACTAATAGTTTTAAATTTCAATATATGTATTATTTTATTTTAATTCGAAAAAAAATGTGCTTATATAAGCTTTACATTTCCGTTTGCATTTTATAAATCCATATTTATATTATATTTAGTTGAATTTATTGAATGTCTCCATTTAAAAAGAAATATAATATAAAGTTCATTTTGTGATTTTACGTACGTATTTATGAAATTAAATATTTTATTTGTCAGTAAATTATTTATTTTATCCTCTCCTATTTTGACACAGCCGCGTTTTGTTCGTTACATTTCATACAAAATTCCTCTAAATGTTCTTATCATATATTTAGTTAAATAATACATTATTTTCTGATATTTCATATTTATTTTCTTAGATATTAATCAAACTATTTATTTAATCGCTTATTTCGCCTTTACTTTACTTTGATATTAATTTTTAGATATTAATCAAAATATCTTTTTAATTGTTTACTTTCAAAACTATCTTATATATTTAGTATTATTTTTTTGATTGGTTGTCCTATATTTCCCAATGCATTTGTAAATATTTCTATATTTCTATGCAGGCATTAATACTGTCGCGCAATTACTGGTTTTATAATGGTATATTTTATCAGTTCAAATGTTTATCTCAGTTAGTCTGTTATTTAGACTTATTATCTATTTCATCTTATTTATATCTCTATTTTTATATTTATGCAACTTTCAAAATGCAGAGACAACTAAATGATAAAAAAAATACCACCATTCGTATGTACATCATTTGTCACGGGCAATTGAAAACACAATTAATCGTCGATTAGAAAATGGAAAGGTTCACTGAGTATTTTTAAGTGTTTAAAACGAATGGCCTGTTCAGAGGTATTTTTTATCTCATGCATATTCAACGGTTTAACTCACGTTATATAGTTTTACATATTCGGTGCTTTTTTCTGCTAAGCCCGCCCACTTTATTTATATTCGATAATGTAAAAACTTTCGTTTTATAATTATTGTGTATATTTGGCTGATTATTAACGATCTTGTCGTTCAATCCCGACTCTCTTATGCATTGTTTTCCATACTTCAAAGAATATTATCATTTCATAAAACAAGAAAATCCAATTTATATAAGTTACTGTTTTTGATGGATAGATTACAAAATCATCGGTAATAACGGCTTTGTTCCATTGATTTACTTTGAAGATGAAAATAATTTCGTTCTTGATGCTCGATTGATAATGGAACTTTTGTAGTGATGAAAATACAGTATTTCTACATTAGTAAGGGAGAAACATGGTTTTAATATCATTAGATCGATGGCTATTGGCTTGTCTTCGACACAAACATTAGCTCCAACACGAACTTGTTAATATTCGCCTCTTGTCTATCCTTTAATTTAATAGATGCCTTTAGAATGTTTTACATTCAACTATGTTGACTACATGCCGCTTCAATAGTAAAACTCAACAGTGCCTTATGTAAAATATGAGATGTTATCTCATTGATAGTGAGGGTCTTATTCTTGTTGTGTTATAAAGTTATTCAATTTAACTGTTATCGTTTCACACTTGATAACTCACCCATTTCAACCAACTCATTGCAGCTCAATCTTTGTAAACATGCAAATTACTTTCAAAGGCGGTATAAATTAGACTTCAAAAGTGTATTTATGTCATATTTAGAAATACTAATAGTTTTTGTTTATTTTAAACAAACGCACGAAATCTCAGGCCAATAATATAAGAACGGTTGCATGAGTACAAAACTAAACGACGTATTGGGGACTAAAATAAATTGTTTTAGATTGTATTGATCTGAAAGATCCTTAAATGGCTCAAACTTCAATCTTTTTACACAAAAATACATTTCTCAGAACTAACACTAGTTAAACTATAGGTAGTGTAAATAAATTAATCCAACAACTACATTTAGTAAATGTTTCGGTAAAAAAGGTTGCCGGCCGGGTCTCTGCATTGTCAAAATAACAAATTTGTAGATTTTACGTGTATATTAAAAGAACGGTTAGTCTTAGATGACCTTATCAGATTGTACCGCAAGCTAGCTACAATGCATAAAGTGCAGTAACAGTAATAAATTATTTATCTCAATGAATAATTATGCATACCTCGACACGTTCTTCTTTCAAGTCTACTTTAATAGCGAGTTCCTCTCTAAGTAAGACGTCTGGGTAATGTGTTTTGTGAAAGGTAGATTCCAACTGTTCTAGCTGTTCTTCTGTGAAGATTGTTCGGTGACGCCTCTTTCGTTTCTGGCCAGCACGTGCAAGATCAGCAGGTGAGAGGAAGCCGGGGAATGGAGATGGGTATGCAGCAGCAGCGGCAGCTAAAAGTAAAAATTATTACGACTAAAAATAAAAACATTGACTTCTTTAACAATACTAGAAAAAACATTTTACGTAACTTTTAAGGCTGGAACTAGATCTACACATAATATTTTGTAGCTTAAATGTGTATGACTTTTTAATATATTTTTTCAGAATGTATGCATTAGCCATCAATATTAAACGACTTTTTTTACCCTTTTGAAATATGTTCATTAGTAATTTTTAATTGTGTATAATAGAAATTCATGTTAGATATTTATTTAAATTTACCTCATTGTCCATATTATTTATCTCCTATTTACATTAAATATTTGTTTAAGTAGATAAAAAGATAAGACTATTTTGCTTTCATGTCATTGTAAACGATGGTTTTGTGATGCACACAGGTAAGCTTATATTTTTAAAAAGGACCAACCAAGCTGTTGCCTAAAGGATTTAATCTCATAAATTCATATGACAATAATTCTATATTTTAGTCACAGAATAATGCATGCTAATGGGAATTTTTATATAAGGGGATTGTATTATTAAATACATAATTGTATGAATGATTAACGATTTGAACTCAAAATTTAAAAAATATTTTATTCATATCACAAATAATGCCACATGTTGCTGAGGCTTTATTGAAATTCTGAGAATTAAAAATACAATTCTATATTACATGTATTTATTAAATATATATTTAATATTTGTCCAGGTATACCAAATGATAAATTTTAATTGATATGAATAATATAAATAAGTAGCTTATTTTAAACCTTTGTTTATTCTTAATTTAACACTATCACTGTACAGTTATTTAACTACCATAGATTTCATTGTTCCTAATTTGTATAGTTCGATACCATATATAGGTAAATGTATTAATGTGATCATTTTAAAAAGATATAATCTTCTTTGGACTGATTTCTTGTCGAAGATATTTTCAAAAGGGTCTCTGAATATAGAGTTTCCCATCCATCATTTACCCTTCCAGACCCCTCTATTGCATGAACAAAATTTAATACGAATGAATATGTTTTCAACCATATCATAGTCTGACATTGACGTGACCGTATATTATTATTATTTTTTAAAAATAGCGCAAGTTGTCCATTTTATTTATAAGATTTATGATAATCAGTAATATTGATATGGGTTAAGGTGAAAACTGTTGTTGAGCTCCCGTCAAGGTGGTGTTTCATCGCCATGGATTTGTGTAAAAATAATGAAATTTTGAAACGGTACCACCAGAAACGATCTCTATGTGGTGAACCCAAGGGTAAGTAGAGATGTTATCAGCGAGGATCAGTTGGCTTTTGATATTAAAAACAGTTAAACATCAAACCAACCCTTGTCTCAACACTATTATTTTCCAATCAAAAATCTCGGGTTTCTTTGTGTGTAATTTCTGAGAACTATCCGATTTAGACGACACTGTGCGTTAATTATAGAGCAAGGTGATAGTGAACGCGTCAAATATAGAACGAATCATCTTAATCGGACGCGGCCAGCCGTGCATTGTATGAACGTTGAAGGGAGCAGTAGGTATCCGTGTAGAACACCAACCTCAAAATTATCATATATTTCTTCTCGTTCGTGTTAAAAAATATAAATCAGGGAATTTAATACCATCATAGCTATAATCGACTCTTGACGTGCCCACAATAATTTATCCCGCCGTCTATACATTCCATTTTGTAGATTGTGTTATTATATTTTATATTCTTTTTTGAAAGCTAAGAAGCCACATAACCAGGTGACAAAGTGGGCGGCCACTTTAGCATGAAACTGACAAGATATCAAAAGTGTAGATTATTGTTGTGTTTACTTGAAACCCGCCACTTATCAACAGTATTAGTTATTTAGATAATATAATAATTCTTCACACATAGTGATGTGTGTGACAATGCCCGCTGATTTACAATTATTATTTTTACTTTGAAAATATAAAGATACCGAATCCTAAGAGATCGTATTTGCATAATATAGATTATTGTTGAAGACAATCTCCAGATTAAAATGTTGTCATTTTTTGTATAATGGAGCGCAGAATATAATATAATTTATTATAATTTTTCAACCGCTGGCGTTTCCAGAAACAGTAAATAAGTTCATGTATAAGATATTATAAACTTACAGCAATGTACGTATTTCAAGGCAAACATATGGTAAAAAGTAATGTTTTATGAGAGTTTGTAAATATAAAAAATATTAAAATCCATTAGTCATTTCTCGAGCTAGAGTATAAATTTCTAAAAGTGTCAAACTCTGTTGATAACCAGGTAATTTTCTTTGATTGTTTCTTTATTTGTGTAACAAAGGTCACGCGTGGTTCGGTTCCCTATCCTTAAATAAACAGTCAAATACATCTTAAGCACTTATTATATATTAGCGACGTAACACCTAATTCTTACTACAAATATCAGTATTCAACTGCTAATTAATGTTACTCAAAGTCTTAACACCAGTTTTAACGAATTCTTACAAAATATCAATGACACCAATGTCATTTTAGGTGTGCGATCTTAAGTATTCTGACTTGGGCATTTTTGAAGTATGGCTGCACTCTTTTTGTTTATTATCGTTTCAAGTTGACACATTGAACATAAATTTGAGCAACGAACTAAATTATAATCATAGTGAATTACCACTCAGTTCATTGTAATTCATACACAGTTCATTGTATAAGATATCGCATATTTATGTTAAATAATCATATTTACGGCTAATTCAGATTCATCTAGTAGTAATTTATTAGTAATAAGTGGTTACCCTTTCCAGTAATAAACTGCATTAATTGTAAATGAAGGAATCGACATATTACAGTAGAATTTGTAAGGTGTAGTTAAGGTCGAGACATTTGGAGCCATGCGTGTTTCTTTTAACAGAATTATAAAAATACATCTAAGTGCCGATGATTATCATTAAGTGGTCTATCGAAGGGTAAAATATATCAATTTTCTCCAAAGATTACATACCTCCTAATCTTAAGTGCTCAATCAGAATCTATTGTGGGGCTTAAGATTATAAGAATATCTAGGATAAAAACACCAAAGGATTTTAAGGTGATTATGTCTTAAATTATCTAGGTTCAGGCTATAATAATAATAAAAGGATTGCCTATTTCTCAAGAAGTTTTTAAGTATTAGTAATAAAAATAATTGATGTATAACTATAGTTATAAAAGTTCATCTACATTGTTCGTAGTTCACGGATGTAAAAAAAAGTAAAAACATACTTCGAAATATATCAAACATAAAGATTCTCTGTTTATTTTACTGTTCCTTAATAATATATTTTCTAAGTTTTAAATATAAAATTGTAACTATGAATAGACACCAACAAAATTAGAAAAGAATATATATAATCATTATGCTTCTCATAGATAATTTATCTTCGCATTCTTCTTTGTTTGCGGCTTTAAAACGTGTTGTTGATATTTGTTTTGTTTTAAATCCATGATTATAAAAGATGGACCATATTTAAATTAAATGTAGAGACGACTACATTTTTGTGTTTGGACTTGTTGAAATTTAAACCCTGGTTCCTAAATGTCACGAGTCAATAGTGCTACAACGGTAACGATTACCATACGAAAGAGACATTTAGAAATATTGAATTAAAGAAGCCTTTATTTCTTTGGCTATCTGACAAGCCGAGTTAGTTTCTAACTATTTTAGGTTAAACTTATTATGCTTAAACGGCGAAAATGAATTCTTTGCAAATAAAATGGAGCGTTTATATTTGTAAATTGTGTTAAGCCAGATACAAATTATGTTTTAGGGAATAAAGGAAGCCATTTTGAAACGCAGGGAAACCTTGTGAGCTGCCAATCTTCACGACTCCATCTAAAAACTATTAATTTATTTAATACATTGTCTAAAATACCTCACTTAAAGGTTGTCTTTCTCATTAAACGCGTAATGTAATATACCACTATATAATCGGCGAAATGTCAATAATATGACCTAGCTTGACGGATAATATTACTGATAGTATATTTACTAGGTGTTGACGTTAATTCTAAAAATGAACAATTAATACTGGAAAAAACAAAACACATTCAACTTTGAAAGTTTTAATCACAACACTGATTAATTCAATCAATTTAGTAAGTGCCTATTATTTAAATAAATTTCGTACCATTTGGGTAGAATGTTTATTCTTAATGTAAAAAATTTCCTCATCATCAAAAACCCCCACACAAAACCATCTTTCTTAAATTTATTTCCATATCAAATATCACACTTATTGATTTATTTCAATTACGCAAATTTTGTTCCTTAACACTATAAAATAGTAAATAAAATATATAGCCAAAGGACATTGAAATTTAATTTAAATTTAATTACGAGTAACTTAGATCATAAGTAGGCACTCGAATGAGCAAAAAAAAAAAACAACAAAGAAAAAAAAAACCCATTTAACAACTATCACATTTACAAAATTTGCTAAAAACGCTCTCAGTAAGAATATAAATAGGTCAATTCTTTAGAAAGGATTTTTTTTTTTTTAAAAAAAAGGATTAATTGTTACTCACCAAATAAGTCATAGGGACCTGGGGTGATGCCTGGATATGGGAAATAGGCTGTTGGTCTGTGGGCTGGGACGGGCCGTGGAGCCAAGATGCTGTCGATACTAAAAAGTGATGGGGAACCTCCTGCTGCTGAGTTCGCCATGAGAGCGGAATGACATGATTTGAGTTGTCCGGCAGTGTAATAATACGGCAGATGAGGCATCATGGCAGCGATCGTGGATGGATTCATTTCTGATAAAGTCCTTGCAAGTCTTGAGTCAACGGACATACTATGCTTAATAAACTGTTCTCAAATTATTCAGGACCAGTTGCTGTGTATATCAAATAAATATTTTCCTTGGAATCTTCTTCACTATAATCCACAACTCTTCAGTATATAAACCCACAATAATCAGTTCGAAACTAATGATGGCGGTCCTTGTTGAAGCTAGTCATTAGAGAAAACAGTTTTTTTCCTTTAAAATATGATACACAGGTACGTCGCTACACAGTGGTGTCTTTGTGCTAACACGATGCTCGACGATGACATATGACACATCGGAGTATAATTTGCTACTTATACCGGCCTCCAATAGCTCAACAATTGCTTAGCACAAAAGGATTTCAGCATCTACACATAATTTTATTATTCTTTAATAAAATTATCCTCGGTACCTCCCAGTATCTGTAAAGCTATTGTGTTTTATCCATTCATTTTCGTACTATAATCTCCCCTCGCAGTGATCACTTTTGTCACGGTCCTTGACTGACACATCAAACCCACCAATCAGAAGCTGTCTTTCCAAAAGGGGGCGGTTTTGGCTTCGTTTTAATGCATATTTATCAGAGAGGATTATAGCGGATTGTGTGTGACTAATGCTATAGGATAATCAACGGTATTGTTCTATAACTTGTTAGACAACCTGCGAAAGAAAATATTTATCCACCAAAATGAACTTAATTAGAGAATCCACGTCGCAACAAAAAGACTTCACGTACTAAAAGTAAACTGTAAATCTCTAATGATATTAACTTTAAAAAATTTGTCAAGTTCCGATTAAATTAAAGTACCATCAAACCCACAATTCTAAAATGCTTTAATTTTAACCTATATAAAATCAATTTTATTTACATTGTGCGCGTTAATCATACAATTACGAAATTAGGTAATTTTTCTGGCATTTATAAATAAAAATATTTTTAATTAACAAAGAGGCTATTTCGAATAAAATTAACGGCTTAATTGCAAGAGAATGGCATCAAGATATATATTAATTGTCTTTCCCATTTATACGTAATTTAAGTATTGAAACCTATTATTTTTAGTTTTCAATTTCACTATGTTTGATCTCCTACCGAAATCAATATCATAATATCCGGAAAAAACTGTCTACCTCAAAATTTAAAGCCATTCTGATGCCTCAAATTTCCATCTTTTTATTTGAATGTTAGTATTGAGAATAATATTCTATAATATAACTAAATGGGTTTGATTTTCTGCACAAGACTAGATTACTTGACTAATTCAATTTCCTTCTATATCAAATAATCAAACCTAAATTCAAAAATATGGAATTGAAAACCTTGGTAGAATGGATGGAATTATACCCCCACTCCTTTCCTTTTGCTAACAGTATTGCATCGTTTAAGAAATGTAATTATATACGTGTCAAATGATATTTTAGCAAGTTAATAATGGACTGTATAAATTAATAGTTGCAGTTAGAAGTTTCTTTATTCGGACTACTCAGTTACCTCCAGTTTATCATATGGAAAAAGAATGATTCTATTTCATTTATGTGTAGACATAACATAAAAAACCTCACACAATATGTAACACGACGAAAAATGATGTTCCCATCTAAATGTAATGAAAAAAAGTGTTACTTATTTGTAACTTCTTCATAACAAAGTCTGGAGAAAAAATAATGGAGAGTTATCCGCCCATTATGGTATCGTGAAACTTCCGATCTTCAGGCCTATTGGTGCTCTATGTCTAATTAATTGTTCATAGCATCACAAACTACAACACATCACACAAAGAGGTTTGCATTTTATAGACAATTTCTTTTGGGAAGAGTTTTCTAATAAACAAAAATTATTATTTAATAATTGTAAAGATTTTTCTTTGATCGTTCAACACTAAATTACTTTTTGTTTGCGTTTTCACGCTAACACCCATAAATGCATATTAAAGATATTCATTTGAGAATTTAAATTAAAAAATATAGCTATTGGTAGGATAAATGTTTTATTATTCTCTTTTTTCACAAATACCCCATTCTAATGTATTGAATTTTGAAAAAAGTGTATACACTTATTGACTGTATGTATGTAAACTGTTTGGTTTATCTTAATTGTGATCATTACCATCTTTGTCAATTACGATTTGCGAGATTTATGGTTCAGAAAAGAAAAAATGGTGGAGACCAAGGAAACAGTTGTTACTTAGTGAAGTAAATCTATTTTGTGTAATTACGTGTCTGTATTTAGTCAAGAGGAACACCTGTATCTGTTTGAATTGCGTCTGTTTAAAGGTAATTCGAAAGTTGTGATAGGCGAGTCTAGGACTATTAGGTAATGTGTTACTGGAGAGAAGAACAATACCCTCTTCAAGATGTCCATAGTTTTTCTTAATAGAAAACCCCCGTCTCAATCTCCTTAAATTAAAACACCTCTTTAAGTGATTCGGTCTAAGATTCTCCAAAAGCCAATAAGATTCTTCGATTTAATCTTCTCTCGAGGAACAACTCGCGCTAAGAGTGTGGTATAAGGGATGGGGGACCAGCTAAGCTCCCGTTATAATCCTTATTTTTAATGGGTTTGAAGCTGCTATTCTATCGACTATGAAACGGCTGTGTTCGGCTTATTCCACTTGACGACAAATACATTTGATATGGTCTTTTCTGTTCTGTTCAGATTTGACGAGCAATTAACACAGCATGGACATTAAACCAAGAAAGTCTCGATTGTAATCCTATCATAATGAGAAAATACTCCGCTAATATTAAAGTAATTTGAATTCACCAAAAGCGATGTGTTTTATTTCAAATCTCTAGTTACCCATCAAAAGTATGATGTTGCATAAAATGAAGCATGAACATATTCATTTATAATTTTTTTTAAGTAAAAGTTTATTCTTATGCATTACAGGACAGAAATGCATATTTGAGTCCATTTTTGGACTGATGTGTCATGGTGCATACATAATACTATATGCATTCAAATATAAAACATTTAATCCGTTTACAATATGCATATAACTAAAAGTGTCCAATCCGTCGGTCTATGACAATTAAATAACGATAAACCACTTTTATTATGTTTTGATTTTCTTTCACAGACAATTGACAAGGTTGGTAAATTCACAAGTTTCCAACGCACCAAACAATTTAACCACGGTGTCTATATTTTTAATATTATTATATGATATTGCAGCCGTCTTTATGGGGTGACTTCTTTAGGACAATGGAAGAACACACAACTTCTGTCTTGCTGCGGGGATGAGACGGTCTATTATACATTACGAAGAATTAAGTCCCAAGCTAAATGATTGGCGATAATATCAAGGATTTCATTCAAGTATAAAACAGAATAATCGAACTATCTATTCCTAATAGGTTATTAGTCTAGGCGATCATGCAAGCAATTTGTCTCATTTTCTTTTGAAAGGTTCTCCTACTTTCCCCAGACAATACAACTTGGGCAATTTAATAATAAGATGAAATTCAGTTCGAATAATATTTTTTTTTTTTCAAAAGAAGCGATTTAATGTCTGAGTATTGGGAAAATGAATGTTTGATCGAACAAAACATAATTTAGAAATCCTCATTAGACTGCGACGAAAAGCCGCTTTGTATGGATTCCATGTCAGAAACGGAAAAATATTGCGACGCGAGTCCCTGTTAAATTTATCATTTAATTTGTCATAAAATGAAAAGGCACACATTCAGATCTCTGTTAACTCGTACAAACCATGTTCACGATTAGAAATATCGTATCTACAACATTCGAGTATTCTGCGCTAAGACTATCGACCGGTATTTACAATGTTTCAGATCTTGTTTGCTGTGAGCACGACGCCCAATGATTACAACACACTTCTTGCTATATTCAATCAATATATATATATATTCAAATGCTGTTGGAGTAGTATTCGTGCTAATTTGAAAAAGAAAATCAAAAATTATTTTGTTGGTTATTATATACTTCATGCAAAATAATAATGATAATATGCACAAGAAAATAAACCCAAATGCGGAGCTGCTATATATTATCTCCATTTAAAAATGTTTTAGTTGTAGAACAAAACATTATGAATGGTCCGTAATTTAAATAATGCATTTAATTTGTCTTCTTTTATTTAGAAACTATCATTCGTTTTGTCCATAAACAAAGGTACTGAAGAAAATTACAAGGGTAGTCATCATTTTGTAGTCCATGAACGACCAGCAAATGTTTCACATAACATAAAAAGATATTATTTGATTAAATACACGTCCTTGTGAAAAATATATAAATATTTTAAATAAAATAGCACTGAATAGACGGTAGATCGTGTGTTTAAAACCAGCAATCTACATGTACTACAAAACAATTGAGAGGACTTTATATAACTATATATTAATTGATTCAAAAAGGTCATTGAGAAAAATATTTCAATACTAAATAAATAGCACTGGATAGACGGTTCAAAACTACTAGCATATGTATATAATTGGAACAAAAAATGACCCTCATGAATAAAATATCAATACATTAAATAAATATCATTTGATAGACGGTTCAAAACTAGCATTGGTGTAATATATCATTTGGAACATAAAGGCCCCCGTGCATGAAATATCAATATTTTAAATATCATTGAATAGACGGTCCAAAACCAGCATCACTGTATATTATATGGCACAAAATGACCTCTGTGAATCAAATATCAATATTTCAAATAAATATGACTTGATTGAGGGTTTAAAACCAGCATTACCATATATTAATTGGTACAAATAAAGGCCTCCGTGATTAAAATATCAATATTTTACATATCATTGAATAGATGGTTCAAAACCAGCATAAGTGTATATTAATTAGTACAAAAATGGCGTTCGTGAATAAAATATCATTCAATAGACAGTTGAAAAGCCCCCAATAAAATATCAATATTTTAAAAATCATTCGATAGATTTATAAATTTATTTTATGAAAGGCGTTGTCTGTCACGAGTTTCTCACAATTCGTGCTAAATGTTCTCACCCTTACATGATTTTGAGATAATGAAAGTATTTCATTTCGCCGCCACGCGGATTTTTATGGTCATATTATACACCTAATAAAAGAGAATAATAAGTCATTTTTAAAATCTACAGGGTGCATTACTGACTAAATAACTTCCATTCCGTAGTTAACTCTATAAAAAAAGAACTCAATATACGCAAAACACCTAGAGCAAATTGCC